GGGAAAACGTCTGCTCGGGAATTGAGCCTCGGGGGGTCTCGTCTCCTTTTTTGGTCCTTCCTTAAGACTGTTAATGCCAATATTATGTCTACCTTTTGTTACATTACAGTATTTATTTTAAATCAACAATAAGAAAAATGTTTTGTATTGAAGTATTCTCTAGGTCTTGAGATACTTTGTAGTTCCTATATCATTTGCTGCAGGTATGATGCTCAGAGTCACTGTTATTTGTATTGCTATCCCCCTGTCTGTGTATATTTGTTTTAGGGTCGGATATCATCTCAGTATCTTTCTATGCCCACTAGTCAGGCCATGATTTCTCAGTTATATTAAAAGAGTGAGAAAAAGAAGAGAATAGTGATAATGCAGAAGAAAATAGAAGGGATGAAGCACATTGAGGAAGACCAGCATAGCGAGATAGACATCTAGGAAGTGATCTGCGTCTCCCTGCATCAGATGGGACTTCAGACAGCTCGAACTAACACTCGGGGTGCTATAGAAATGAGAGAGAGAGAGAGAGAGTGAGAGTGAGTGAGTGAGAGTGAGTGAGTGCTTCCTGGCATGCTGATCCCCCCGCCCCCCCCTCTTTTAGGTGCAAGGGAAAAAAGCAGCAGAGTGTGCTGATTCCCCACAATCGCAGGAAAAGAGGCTTGGCTTGTGCTGGAAGTACTTTTCCTTTACCAATAAGTTAGTTGCCTTTATTAGATGTGTTTACGCTTATAATTTATGTGTGATTTTCTCTCCAGTGCTTTTTTGTTGCTTGGACGGGAATCTTGGGATCTGTCCTGCGGCTTTGTTTTGGGGCCTCTGCTTGTCCTTGGGGGCTTTGGCTCATTATAGGGATGCATTTATGCACATTTGCATGCAGGCATGCGCTAGTACACACACACACAAATAAGCAAACACACACACACACACAAATAAACAAACACACACAAATAAGCAAACACACACACACACAAATAAACAAACACACACACACACAAACACACACACACACAAACACAAAAACACAAAAAACACAAAAATACAAAAACACAAAAACACAAAAATACAAAACACACACACACACACACACACACACACACACACACACACACACACACACACACACACACACACACACACACACACACACACACATTTTGAAGCAGGCATTATAAGATGAGGAACTGAAGACATGCTTAGAAGGTAGACATAGACGTCTCTCCCAGACTTTCCTTAGTGATAATCATGGCTGTCTTGTTTTAGCACACGAAGCAAGGGTTCTATAACCACATGGATTATTTCCCAGGTATTATCTTTATATATATATATATGAAAAAAGATTTATTGATACAAGCACTACTTTTTTTTTCTTTTTTTTTTTATCTGTAGATGTTTACAAATGTAGAACCTCTTTCCCTGAGTGTAATTATGGTGTTTGTGGAGGAACGTCATCTGTTGTGCCAGTTTCCTCTCCCGTGACGGAAGCTGGTCTTTGATGCTTTTCATGTCATGAACTGCAATGTGAGAGATTTTTTATTTGTATTTTAATATTTAGTCATGTTATTGTTTTTACTTATGTGGATTTTTTGTGTGACTATTACCATAATTTTCTGTTATTGTTGTAATTATGTAATAATATTATTGTTATCATTACTATCATCATGATTATGATTATTGTTAAAAGTATTATTATAATCATTATTAATATAACTGTTATCACCCTTTTTTTTATTATAAATGTTCATGATCATTTTTTTTTTTTTTTTTTAAATCTTAAAAATCATCTATCATTATCATGATTGTGATCATTGTTAAAAAGAAAGTGATCATTATTATTATAACTATCATCATCATCATTATTATTTTTGTTATATGTATTCATGATAATTTTTTTCAATTTTAAAAATCATGTATCATTATCAGTGTCACGATTACTGTTTTGTAAATACTGAAGCCTAGTGTCTTACTCAGAGCCTCCTGTAGCTGAATCAGATGATGTGATAGATAAATAGATATATATGTAGATGGATAGATGGATAGATGAATGTCGTGTTTGGACGGGCTTGCATCACGGGCCTCGAGCGGAAGGGGTTGCGCAGGAGCGAGCCTTTCTGTGGGACCAGGAGCCTCGGCCGAAGCTCCTCTTGCATTCCAGTCAGCATTTCAGACGCTCGGGTTTAGCTTTATGTGTTGGTGGCATTTGTTCAGGCTGGGCTCGGGTCCTTCAGGCTGGGCTCGGGTCCTTCAGGCTGGGCTTGGGTCCTTCAGGCTGGGCTCGGGTCCTTCAGGCTGGGCTCGGGTCCTTCAGGCTGGGCTCGGGTCCACGAGGGCGGCTGTGGATTAGGTTGGTAACGTCTCATATACATACATGTAAACGTACATGTTCACACACGTGCACATGCTCACTGACATGCATGAGCACTCCTCCCTCCTACACACAAGCATGCACGCACACAAACACTCACACACACGCGCACACACTCACACGTTCACTCGCACACATGAACACACA